AACCCAAACCAAACCAGAACACAAACCACATTTGTCAGCAACAGCCTAAATAACTCTGGGTTTAGTAGAGAAAACATCAAAGAGAGTCAGAGATATAAAATTATTTCAAACTGGGCTTTTTGCATTTCTCTGGAGTTTAATGTAATGAAGTTCATCTTTTTAACTGATTTTAATCATAAACCCACAGTAGTTTGCCAAGATGCTAAGCAAACAGCTGGGAGCATAGGTGGTCGTGTACAATTTATGTTACCAGTTTACTAACAAAGTAAGAGCACCTCACTGCTGGGGCTTGTACATAACGAGTAACAGGCAGATCTGTGGATTAATTAATCAGGGTGTGGGTAAGATCACTTTGTCAAACCCTAACATTTCATGGTAGAGTACTCTGGACATGAGAAAAAGATGAGTTTGTTCTTCAAAGAATATTACTGACAAAGAGAGGAAAATTTCCCTGCATCACTGCTAGGGATTGGTCCAAGAAAACGAGACAAATCAGGAGTGTAGGTTGTGGGGAGTCTGGTGCATGTTCTCACAGCTGCTGCCATACCTTGCCATAAAGCAGGAGGTACATTTACTATAATTTAGGACAAATCTAAAAATATTCTTGTCGGTCACACAAATTGCACAGGTCCCTTACCTGTCCATACCATAAATAACTCTTAGGTGATACCACATCACTGCTCTTTCCAGAGGGTTTTACAAGACTTGGAAGAACAACTACATTTTAACACTGGAATAGCAACTGGTCTTAATAATAGCTTTTAACTCAGGAAAATTATTTTCCTCACTGGACACCCACCATGCAGAAATTACATTTCTTTTGCTGTTTTTATTAAACTTTGGATAAACAAAAATGTATAATTTTTTTTCCTTAATGAGATCTTAGACACTTTTTACAAGGACTCTGAATCAAAACAAACATTTAACTTGTCTTCCTGAGCAATTTCATTTGCTTTTGCTCCCTGCTGTGCTGGAAACATGCTTTGTGCTTGCTCTCAATCAGGTATCCCAACAGTTTATCAGGTAGTGCAGCATAATACAAATATTATGGTTACAGATTAGCTGTTTCCTGCTGCCATTTACTTCATGCTTTAGCTCCTTTGTCATTTACAAATCAAACTGTTTATGCACTCAATTATAACACTTCAAGTGAGAATAAAGGGCATTCTATTACTCCCAAGAGGACTGTGGAAACATTTGTGTGTGAAGTACTGCAATACCCTCAATTCTCCTGGTTTCATATTGCTCCATGTCTTGCTGCAGGACATCTGACAGTGATCTAACATTTATAAAAGGGTTTTTCATGCACACTACATCAAGCTCTGCAACTCACAGGGTCTCTGTCAGAGTTTACAAAGTTGCTAAAAGATTGCTGGAAAGAGTCCCTGGAATTTTTGGCACTCATCACCATCAACACAGCAAACTGTCTCATTTTGCTTAGCCAAGGAGCCTTGGTCAAATGTCCCACAGAAAATATCCCACTGCTAATTCTGCCCTAGGGTGCACATTTCACTTGGGTGAAGGGCAAAGAAAACAGCAACGTGCATTTAATATGAAAACCAGTACAACCAGTATGATGCTGTGAGTACAGGGCTGAACTCTACCGAAGTACAGGCAAAGAACAGGTTCTTAGCAATATAAACACACATGCACAAGTGTTGGGAAAGGGAATTAGATGTTTTCCCTGCAGTGGCCAAAACATGAGCCATTATCTCAGCCTGTGTATGTTATTTTGCCCCAAAGACACAGCCAATCAGGCTGAGGAGAGTGTGCTCAGCAAATCACCCCTCAGGTACTGTCACCAGCTCCTGCTGACATCCCCAGCCCTGAGTGCCCACAAAGTGCTGTGTCTGCTCCTGCTCCAATGCACATTCTTGGGTGATAAAACAAGGGCACATTCTGGTTTTTCATCAGCTAAAAGAGAGTAATTAATCTTAATACTCTTCTTCTTCTTCCTGAAAAACAGAACTTCTATAGCTGGAGGAAAACAAAGAGCTATCAGTTGTTCTGTGGCAAATTAATCTTAAAAAGGGAATCTTCCAAAGAAAATCAATAGCTTATAACAAGATTCTGTATTGTGTTTGAGCCCTGAAACTCAAACTAGACTCAAACAGTACTTTCAGCATTGTGAATCTGCTCTGGTTGTGCTTTGCTTTTAATACAATGTCATCGTTTGAAAAGTGAGATTTTCACATATGAGCAATTTTCGTTATGTGTGGCTTAACCTTCATGGAAGATTCTAGTAATATTTTACCCAGACTGCAAGCTCACAGGTATGTCAGGCAGCTTAAAGAAATGATTCTCAAAAGAAGGGATTTAAGAGGGAATTATATTTCTTATCCTCTAGTATTCTGTATTTAATGCACCTTTGTTCATGTGTACCTTTCTAAATTAGCCTGTTTCATATGAGAAACTTAGCAAATTATGTCTCCTTACATGGTCAATCTTTTTTTAAAATAAAACCAAACCTAATGAATTTAACCATGATGCCATGGAAACAGCTTTAAAATTAATTTGTGTGCAGGGAGGAAGGATACAGCACAGAGAAAGTGACAGGTTTGAGGAGAGAAAAAAGTCTCTCTTCATTCAGCACTGGGATCTTTGTCTGGGAGAAACATCCTGTATGTGGCTATATATACTTGAGGAGTTTTATTTCCATAAGTCCCAGCAGTAAAAATGAGAGTTTGGTATTGATTCAGGGCTCCCATGGGTGGAAGGAGAATTTGGGCCTTGCTTTTACCCATTCCTGCACTTGGCATTTGGGTTTGTTATATAAAATGGGTTTATCTAATTCATTGTTATTCTGGGACTTTGTACAGAAGGAATTCTAGTCTAAAGCAGATTTCATCACTTATTTTCTTGATAATTCACAAGTTAGCTTGGCTGCCAGAGTGAAGAGTTGGACATAAAAAGAAAAATATGTTACTAAGCCTAAAAATTTCAGGGAGTGCACAGTCCCCAGGACTGCGATGTTATCAAACTTCAGTAGTACCACAAAGTGATGACTAATGAGCTTTATAACCTCTGTGTGCTGTAGAGTAAATGCTCTCATTAATTCTTTACGAGACCTTTAGAAAACCTCCTGCATTTGTCCTGTTTCCTGGCTGTCAGAGTTTAGTGGATGACTCCATTGGCTCCCTTGACATTTTTACTTTTTCATTCCAGTTTGGTTTGTTTGCTTGCCTTAAAAAATGCCAACTGGGTGGACTGTAAAAAGGCCAACCAGTAGTTCCCAATCCAGACAGGACAAAAGTAGTTGAAATTAACACATTACAGCAGTATTTTTGACCCTTACCTTATTTTTTTTTTGCCCAGTGAACTGTTAGCTGTAAGTAGTAAAGCGACACGCCAAAGATCTTCTAGTCTTACTGGTGCAAATATTCTCTTTCCTTTCAGAATTTCCATCCCCCCTTTTTAGATCAATGTCCAAGCACTAAAACAGCATCTCTAAGGCATTTTGGGGGTGGTGGGAGAACAATGCTTGGGAGACTTTTAGCTTAGGAAAGCTCCTAAGATCAGATTCTGAGTAATTTACTTACAAGAAAAATACATTTTGCAGTCAGGGCAGAGTGTAGGAAATAGAACTGGTTGAACACTCCCAGAGTTTGGACACATCATTTATTTCTCCCCTTATCATAGGCTGAGATAATAAGGGTGTAGGTTACACACTAGTTGGGATGCTGCTGTAGTTCAGCACTACCTCACATATTGGTGGGCATAGACATTTGGGGGGCAAAGTGAGGCTAAGTCTTTGTAACTTGATTGTGCACTGCAGGTCATATAGGGAGGTCGTTCTGCAATTGCATTTCACTACTGAATAACCAAACCTCACATTCATCCAAAAGACAAAGTCACCAATGCAGGCACAAAACCCCAAGTCAGTGTTTTTTAGGGGTGAAAGTTTTTACCCTCATTATAAACATGGGAAGTGCATTACAATGACATTTCTTTACTGGCAGTATTAGTCTTTGGCCATTTGTACAGTTACAAAGATTACCAGATATAGATCAAGTTCATACAGCTCTTGTTCATAGTATGCAAGTCCAGAAATTTCTCTGGACAGACTTTAGAATTATGCCAACACATGCAAGAGAGACTTGATTTTTAAATACAAACATCAGGCTGATGCAATTCTGACAATGCCAGAACAAGGACCTTCTTCTTCTAATTGACATCTGAAAACCAAGAATGAGATCTTTAGGCAAAATTAAGTAAACCATCCTTTCAGCTGTCTAGAAGTACTTAACTGCCTCATGAGTTCATTGAAGTTGTTAATATTTTTTTTAAAAAAAGGCTACAAATTGCACTGGAAATGGTAACAGTGTCCAGTGATCCCACACAAATCAAACCCCATGATTCTGGGTAAGACATTTACATATGCAGAGGGAGAGGGGAACTGTGCCTTCATAATTTAAAAATTCCAGCAAATCATAAAAGCAAAAAGCATAAGGAAAGCTGTAGGAGCTAAGGAGAACCTGGTTAACAATAATGCAGTAAGTGCCTAACTGTAGGAGCCTTTGTAACCAAGTTAGAAAAATCTGGGGCCGACAAATATTCGTATTTTGAATTCTGGGAGTGCTGGTTTAGACAGTTCCAAACCCGTATCCCATATGTTTCTTCAGATATTTCAACCCCTGAGTCCTCTGTGTTTGCCTCAAGGCTGAAAAATACAGATTACTTGATGCCCCTGGCAAGTGCTGTTGGAACAGGGAAATGATGTCAACCCCTGCAGTGCAGTTCGTAACTGGATGTGGGTAAATTCGCTTACTGGCAGTTTAGAGGGAAACATGCTGGTGCTGTGCCAGCTGGAGCCAGCTGGTGACTGAAATTATTAACATCACACGTGCTGCAAACAGCTGAAAAACTGCAGTGTTACAAAATACCCTAAGCATGGATGGGATCCTCACACAACCCAACGGCTGCGTGGAGAGTATTTGCAAACAGTGCATGGTATGATTTGCTACTGGTTAATTGTAATCTTTCCCTTCACTGTTTTCTAGGTTCAACTGATCCACTATAACCATGAGCTGTACACAAATGTCACAGAAGCTGCAAAGAGTCCTAATGGGTTGGTGGTAGTTTCCATATTTATGAAAGTAAGTATTCAGTATTATTGATTCCTAATATATAAAGAGTAGAGTTTCTTTCCCTGAATTGTAAATCTAGGAGTTAGACTCCTCATTATCCATAGCAATGCCTAGAGGCTCTGATCTGGAATCCAGAGACAGCATCACTCCTGAACTGAGCTCACCACCCCTGCTCACAGTATAGGGGAAATTAAAAGGGGTAAGGGAGTGGAACAAAAAAATCCTTACATCCTACACATCACTCTAACACTAATGGCTGTGACAAAAGTTACTAGCTTTGCAGATTCAGTGTTTCTTCATGAAGTATTATTTATTCAGCCAAAAATAAATGTCTCCTAGTAGGCTAAGGCCCTGGCAAAGAGGACAAGTTTGCTCTTTGGACACATGCTGATGTTTCAAAGTCAGCAAAATTAGTTTTTCTCACAATGTTATTTAAAACATCTTAAACTATCAAAACTGAATTACCATTGAAAGTATAACTTTTAATCTCTTCCATTTCACAGAGCTAGAAAGATGTAAATATTTTGTCATGTTGTAGTCTCCTTCCTGTTGCATTCAAGATGCACAGTTAGGTCTGTAACTTACAGCAATACAGCACTGAGCTCAAGGCTTCACAGTTTACTCAAACCTCTCTAATTACATTGGAGAAACCTTTTCCCTCATTTTAGATGAAGAATGCATTTCCCCTCTCTGAAAGTTATTCATATTCTGCCATTATGTATCTGTTTCATCAGTCTAAAAAAGCATCTAGTTGTGAATAAGTGCTTTGTGCTGAAATAAATACCTTCCACCATCACACCTTAGGTTCTGGAGATCTACTAGTTCCCTGCAGTACTCTAATCCCATTTCATAAAGTTCTGACAAAGCATTAATCTCAGAATTAAAATAGGCATTTCACGGAGCATATTGAAGAATTAGATATAAAAGGGCAACTTTCATATAGAGGTAGTATTTCAGAAAGATAGTTAGGGTACCTTTTCTTTTTACATCCAAAATGTGTTGTATTATGACCCAACAATCTGACCTGGATTCACAAAAGAGGAAGAAGTTGAAGCAAGCCTTCAAAATAGCCTGGAAATAAAAGACTGAGAGGGAACCTTGTCAGTGTCTAGAAGTGTCTGAAGGGAGAGTGTCAGGAGGTTGGAGTCAGGCTCTGCTCGATGGTGCTGAGCAATGGGACAAGAGGCAACAGGCAGAAACTGAAACACAAAAAATTCCACCTGAACACGAGGTGTTACCTCATGTCTTACCCATGTGTGAAGCACAGGCAGACAGCTTTTGTTTGCAATCAAAACAGTCTGCTGCAAGGAAATTATAGTTGTCAATAAATAGAAAAATAATAGAATACTCCCTGAAAATGCTGCCTAATTATATCAGCCACCTGCAAATCCCATCGAAGCTGTTGGAGAAGAAACCTGTGCTCACGCTTTTATTCAGGCATTAATTTCTATTCACCCTCTTCTCCCATCCTTGTTTTTTGGGATACCAACTTTCTATCAAGCTTTCTTAGACAAACAACTAAGTAATTATCTCCTCTCCCCACAAGAGTGGAAAGAAAAGGCAGGACCAGTTTGGAGGAGTGTCAGGAGAGAGGGTGAATGTGTGTGTACGTGTGTGTGCTCACACAGAACAGCTACAGACTTGGGAAGGAAATGTTTGTGAGGAGACTTTGACATCATACATTTTCTCTTCTGTAGGTATCTGAATCATCAAATCCATTTCTAAATCGTATGCTTAACAGAGACACCATAACGAGAATAACGTATAAAAGTAAGTTTCTTTTCCTTTACTCTGGCTAACAGCTCTATGTGTTCAGCATCACATGTATACCTAGTGATCCACTGAGGCAGGAGAGACTTCGTTAGGGGCAAAAATTCCAAGTTTGCATTGCCAGCAACTCTGTGTGATAAACTCAGGAATCTGAGAAATCTAGTTAGGTCATCACTTTGTCAAATGAATTTGGAACTTCAGAGTCTATTTTATGTCTGAAGAAGCAGTAGATTAGTGAAATGATATTTGACACACACATATACTGTATTCACACAGAACACTCAGGAGAAACTGCCTACTGTTAGCAATAAAAGGGACATGCAGAGCAGCCTGGATCATATCAAATCAAGTTATGTCAAGATGCTGCACCATTAACTGTGCATTTAGCATTCAGCAATGTTTTCTTTTTGTGCAGAAAGGTTACAACATTCCTGTTCAACTACTGCTGCATTTAATGGATACAGAAAGAGTGGTTGACATAGCTTTTATGTTTGCTGCATTCACATTTGGAAAGCCTTTAGCTGATGATGCTCAATAATTCCATGTTAGTATATTGATCCTGTGGAAAACTGGAGCTTAATTAAGATAGAGAAAGTAATGAAAAATACATGTATCTCAATGGAACAAATTATAGCTCTTCTCCTGAAAACCTCATTTCCTTCATCAAATATTCACTTAAGTTCCAACTGCCATTAAGTTAGTAAGTTCAACAATACCAGAATTTAACTTTCAGAAAGTACACAGCAAACGGAAAAAACAAATAGTTCCTTGTCCTTTCCTACAACACACACACCTTTCATCCCACTGATATTTCTCTAATTTTACCTGACAGTTAACAAATCTTGTTACATCCTTGGTCCAAATAATGCTGAAACTCAGTTCTCAATACCTATGGAAAGGAAGGCAACAGAGGGTTCCCTTCAGAATATTTTTTCCAGATTGTTCCATCAGTATGAAATGTCATCTTCTCTGCATGGAAACAGGAGATTAGCAGGAGATTTTTAAACTGCCTGTCTTGATTCCTTGCAAACACACAGCAATCCTGCTCTGTAAGAGCTTCCTGCCTACCAGTGCTGCTGCAGCATCATGGAGACAGGAAATTACTGTTACTCTGTATGCTTTTTCCAGCTCTTCCACTCATAAATTCCATACACCCAGCTTCTGTCTGGGGACCAGACAGAATGTCTCTGGCTGTACCCCTGCAGAAGCTGCTTTTTCCCACATACCTTGCACACTGAGTAGGAGAAGGCTCCTGCCTCACGTTTCGCAGCACAGCAGCTGTGCCTCACGCTTTTATATGAATTTCACAGCCTGATTTGTACTCCTTGGCCCCACGTGCTGCATTGGCTGCTCCACAGAGCAAAGACTGGACAACTTGTGGTGGCTCAGAGCAGAAGACAGGCAGTGATTAGGGATGGACAGCTCCACAGGGTGGGGAGGCACCTGCAGCATCTTTCCCCTGCTGCCTGAGTGAGCACGGCACTGCCGCCCACAGCAGCAGGCAAACACCTTCCCCATACAAAACATTTCATTTGTATGCTGCACTTACAAGTGGGCACTCCTCCTCTCTGGAGCTGTCAGCATCCTGCAACCTTTCATAGCTTGTTTTGTCTCCTTACAAGGAAAATGCAATTCCCATCACACCTCATTTGGGTTGTCTAAATGAAATTTCGCATGAAGATGAACACATAGCATAGGCTGCAAAATCAGTGATTAACAGAACTGTTTTAATTTTTAACCACTGTTTTTGCTAACAAGTTTATCTGTTAAAATGAAATCCCTGGTAGACACAATGCACATATTATTCTGCAGGGCACTGGGTTACTTACTGTAGTAACAAGTATTGACTGGGAATTTTTAGTGTAAATTGGGAACGTGAAAGTGTTATTGAAAGTAATTTTGCAGTTGTCTTGCGTGATGGATTATAGCATCATTGCTGAAAACTAATTTTACCTCTTACATTGCAAGGATTTCTCCTCTGCCTTTAGCAGCTGGAGTTTTTCAGCCCCTGCTTTAGGGGTCCACTCCTGCAGTCAATACTCAGCATGGTGCTGACAAAATGACCAGGCCCAGTGCACTCAACAGGAGCATGGAGTGAATGACAAGTGGAGCACAAGTTCAGAGTCAGGACAGTTCATAACATAAATAAAGGACTTTGTTTTTAAAGAATAGCAACAAAATTAAGAGCTATCTCTGCTGCTGCATGAAATTTCCACAGGCAAAATGCATTAAAAGGGAAATTTCTACTCTTAGATATTAATGGCTACAGTGAAGTAAAGTGGACCCCAAGGAATTTTTAAGCAGATTTTAAATGCTTATTTTATTCTGTTATCGCAGCCCAAAGAATCTGCTGTGAGCTGGTTGAAACAAGGGCTCTTTCAAGCATGCTTTAGTCAGAAGCTCTGTGAATATCACTACAGAAAAAAATGCTTTGTTATGCCTCTTTAAGTGTGCTATTTGAGGGGATAGCTTCGCTTTCTTTCAGAACAGTTACATTTAAGCAGATTTTAAATGCTTATTTTATTCTGTTATCGCAGCCCAAAGAATCTGCTGTGAGCTGGTTGAAACAAGGGCTCTTTCAAGCATGCTTTAGTCAGAAGCTCTGTGAATATCACTACAGAAAAAAATGCTTTGTTATGCCTCTTTAAGTGTGCTATTTGAGGGGATAGCTTCGCTTTCTTTCAGAACAGTTACACTACATGGGTTAAGTGTGCTATTTGAGGGGATAGCTTATCTTTCTTTCAGAACAGTTATGCTACATGGGCTTTCACCCAGTGTTTGCTTAACATTAGAAAAAAAGGAACATTTAGGCACCTGAAATTCTGTATGAAAATTCAGACTTGTCTTCCTCCTCCAAAATACTGCCACAGGTTAAGGTAGGCAGAAAAGCTGTAAAATTCTGAGTTTCCTCAGATTCAGTCTTTAGTTATTTGATAGATAACGTGCGAGTGAATAAAGTATTCTGATTTTAAGAGATTACCCTGAAGAAGCTACAGATGCAAATTCCTGGAAATCGAAGAAGAATAATTTGGCAAGGTTCATGTTTCAGCATGTTCTGTGAAGGACTGAGCTCCTGCAGCTCCTGTCACAAGCAGTAAGGGCTCAGCAGTCTCCAGGCAGGCCCCCAGGGACAAATCTTGGGTGTTCAAAATGCATCTCTGTCAGCCAAGTCTCTGTGACTTGTAAAGGCTGGTAAGCAGCAAAACTCTGCTTCAGGATTAGAAAGCAGAGGATCTCTGCATTCCTTACCCTGTAAGTTTAACCTAGAGCCTTTTCTGGATTATCATGATATGAACTTTAAAATAAATGTGCTTTCCTTCCTTCAGTTAACAAGATTTCCCTCTCAACAGCCTTGCTACACAGAGATACACAGAACTTAGACCCCACACGCCTATTACAAACCTAGGGACAAAAGGATTTCCATCATTTGCTGAGTAAATTGTCAGAGTCAAGGCCTTTATGTAAATGAATATGAAATCTAATGAAATCTAATTTGTATAGAGAAGAGTTCAGGAGTTCAGAAATCAGCCTAAGGCACCAGCAGATCAAGATAAACAGATCGTGGGCTGTCGATGGGAATGATGCTGAGAATCTAGTACAGGCTCAATGGGTTTATTAAAGGAATTTCATCACTGGCAAGAGATCACACATGGTGATTTTGACCATTTTGAACTACATATTTGCAATAAATATAAGACATTGAAAATCTGCAGTCCAGTCTTAGTGCTGACCCACCAGTTCTGTTTCAGTTCCAGAATGGAAAACCTTTGTCAAGATGTGGGGAAAGGACAAACCTGTTTGTGGGAAAAATGTTGATAACAAAATCCTTATTCTGTAGTCTTTTCCCATGAAGTCATCTGACTTCCCATGGGAATATAACCCATATACAGGCATTAATAAATACTGCTTTGACTTGGACAAACTCTTATTTCATTCACCCCTATCTTCCACTTTTCCTGAAGTGATATTTTCCTCCAGTTTCCCATATCAATATCCCTCATCTGTATTAATCTTCAGTTAGCTTTCCATCTCCTAGTAAACATTTCAGGGCAAATTCTACCTGGTTTAAATCATTTTAGGCCAGCTGAAGCCAATATAGCTGTGAGAGAGCAGATTTGGTCCTTAGAGGTTGCAGCGATCTATTCTGCCTGACTCTGTGCCATTTGGAGCTAACACACCACTCTCCATGGCTCATAAATAATGAACAGGATGTTCATGTGGGAAAGGGAAAAGTGTGTGATGACTCATTGAAAACAGGCACTGGCATGAAAAAATGCATTAATTCTCTTCTGATGTAATTCTAGCAAAATTACCAGTGCACTGCAAATAATGTTTCTAATGAATTGGGCACAGGTGTATTCAGTCATCTCGAGCTGTTCAGATTTAACTGCATTTTGACTCTGGTTTCATGCTTCTGGCTGTAAAATTTGGGTTGAGAAAGACTCTATCACAGGCCATGGCCAATGATGACAGTCAGCTGCCTGCAAGACACTAACAGCACTTTCCCCTCTGCCTGAGGATCCATGGCCATCACCCTGGCTCGAGGTGCAAGAACGTGGCAGAAGGCTCTATTTCTGACATACGTGAGAGGCCATGCCAAGATTTTATTTTGTAAAATCACAAACACATTCAAAATAGGAAGTAACTCTAAGGCATTGGTCCGTGAGGTATAAACATTACACTCTCACCTTGACACTTTAACTGATGCTGTAGCTGCTAATATTGCTGCCCTAGAACCTTGTACCTTGTTGGCTGTGCTATGTTAAAAGAAAAATCAAGGTCACATTTGCTTTTCCTGTGTTCTTTGATTTTCTGTTGCCCAAGAGAGTAGTCTGCAATCCTTTATTTTTTTTTTCTATTAGATTGTATGAGACAAGTCTTTTGCTCATCTAAGTTTTGTCCTTCAGCTAGAATATGTTAAATTCAAGTTAAATTACTCTTCTCTTTTGTAGTTCTTTTACACTTCCTTGATCGTTCAGATTTCTGTGCAAACCAAGGCCAGCTCATCTCGTGCATGGCAAGGAGAAACAGACCTCCCAATGCAGCTTTCCTTGCCTGCATCTCAGCTCTCACTCTGCAAATTAACCCAATTGAAGACACCACACACAAAGAGACCTCACAGCTCATAACCACCTCAGCTTTCTCCGAGATACGTTCTAGCAGCAGTGTAGAAGCAGTAAAGCATGTATAGCCCTGAGTAGTTCCTATTAAGAAACTCCTACAGCCTAAGATTTGGCAGGAAAATCCAAGTTTTAGTTTTGACAGCACTGCCAAAAATATTGTCGAGCCAGCATTACCCAGGGGGAATAGTGCACGTAGTATAGACCAGGCTGAGGAACTTTGATGAATTTTTGAAAGGTATAACCTTATCTCATTATATTTTGGTACATACCCAGAGAGTGAATTCTGTTGCAAAGAGACACCTTATTAATTCCTAGGGAGACTTACAATAAAAGCAGGGACCATAGTATACTGGTGTACTTTCCACCCCAGTTTTAGCATTCTGAGGGAGCTTGCACTGCATCCACCCCCACTGTGCTCATGAAAGGTCAGCAGGCTTCACCGAGCAGCTTTAGTAGCATGCATTAACCTTAACTTCCTCCTGTGGTAGAAGGGCAATTAAGTTTTAACACTCTTGGTCTTCCCGAGGCTTTGTTAAGCAAAAATTGCTAATCACTCCAAAATAATGGGAAGTCAACATTCTCCAAAGTCTGCTGGGCCTCAATCAATAACTGCAGCTGCAAGAAGCTTTTCACTCCAGTTCTAAAATGTGATCCAGAGTTTCCCTGTGATGCCTGTGCTAAATTCAGAGCTGTCCATGCATATCTGAGAGTGCAGCTCAACCCAAGCAGGATTAGTGACTTAGTGTTACTTGTTCTTGTCCAATGCTGAAGTATTCAGAACTATACATTTGTTAAAATTCTTACTTGGGTGAAACTGCAGATCATGTTCTGGGTCTATTTTTTGTGAAGTTGTTGTTTTATCTCAACTGTTTTCCTTCTTTCTCCTCCAGATGATGCATACTTACTACAGGGGCTTAATATTGAGGAACTTTATCCAGAGACATCTAGTTTCATTACGTATGATGGGTCAATGACAATTCCACCCTGCTATGAAACAGCAAGCTGGATAATAATGAACAAACCTGTCTACATAACAAGGATGCAGGTAAAATAACTTCAAAATGACTCAGCCTAACAGAGGTACAAAGTAATACTTTCAACGTAGATTTATAGCTTTACATGCAAAATTAGATTCAACCATTTGCTGTAGGGATCTCTGCATGCAATTTATACAGTTGGCAAAAGCAGTGAAGAGTTTGGTTTTTTGTCAAAATAAAAATACTGTTTAGAGATCCATCAGTATCTGCACACACACTTTGAGGTGAGCCCTACTTTCAGTGAGGGTTTGAACCAACTGGTTTCCAGTAGTCTCTCCCAAACTAAATTATTCTGTGATGCTGTGAACAGTTATTTGTGGATTCTGAAACAAGTATAGCAGTGTTGTACAAAAATAACTGAGGTCATTAAGTATAACAGAGGTCATTCTTTGGTCAGAATAAATACATGCTGATAGCACATTAACGTGAGAGATACAATATCTGAGGCCTTCTGGAAAAAAAATCAGCCAGTGCTTTCTGGTATAAAGTAGAATGACAGGCTAGACACTGCAGATACCTTCAGAAAAATCAGATTGACATATCGAAGCCTCTGGTAAAAAGAAGCAGGATAAATTATGCAAGGGAAAACAGTCAAAGTTACACTGTTGGGGAAACACACCAGAGGGAAAATCTTTAAAACTCCATTTCTGTATGACTTGCCTACAATCCAAGGCCTAACATCACAAACCAGCAAATTTGACACTAGTTGTAGTCTTCTCCAGGGTTTCTATCAGTGAGTTGCCTACAGAGCTGCGAGCTGAACTAAAACCTACTCTCTTGCATGCTGGAATCCCAAAGGAATACTCAAACCACCATCTGCCTGTCCCAAGCATGCAGCAGAAGCAATCTGGCCCAAGAAATGAAATGAGGAACAATAAAACAACCCTAAATATCACTTTGGGATTTAAAATCATATTAACATTGTAAATAAGATGACTTTTAAAAGCCTGAGTTGTTTCATTTTTGTGCTATTCCTTCTGTCTGGTTTTGTCTGGGTGCAGAGAAAGCACTTTGTTTCTTTGCTAAACGGGTAATTTGGGAGAATGACACAGCTGAGCACAGACAAACCCGCCGAACATTCGGAACTTTTCAAACACAGGACCTGAATATTTTCCTACAAGCAGCATTTTTAGTTACAACATTAATGTACAAAACAAGGATTAGAATATTTCTGTAGTCTGTGCTACTACCTCTGGTTATAATCTCATGATACTTACTCCTTGTCATGCTTTAGTGGTTAGTTACATCCTCCATTATTAGTGCTGCAAATTGATTTCGTGGAATACTTACTAATTACACTGTGTGCTCAGACTTAAAAAAGCAACTCACAACTCCAGTTTTCCCTGGAAGCTGTTAAAGAGTTCCAGTATGTAAAACCCAGCTACTGGATTTCCCCATGTAAGCATTAAATGCCATAAACAAACCTCTTAAATTGTACACAGGCATGGAAAATATTTTCTTTTTATGTTTTAAACCAAAATATTTTGAGGATTTCTGATTTACAAACTGCAGGTTTTTTCCCTCTCTGGTTGTGATTGACTTGAAGCAATTAACATGCCTTTAGCACAGCTGCATAGACACCCCAAGAACCATTGCTGCCTGATTGTAGCTTGCATCCAACTGCTGCTGGGCATACTGGATGATTCAGTGATTCCCTCTCTGCTGATCTGTAAAACCATCCCAAAAGAAGAGCAGAGTCTGCTGTAAGAACACTAATAGTCACAGCACAGACAATGCCTTGACAGACCTGTCAGTGGAGAGAAGATCTCACTTTTTAACATCATTAATTTCACGACTTCAGCAGCATCACTGTCAGTTTCCTTCCCATCCTGACTGCCCCTACCTGGTTCTTGAGTACCATCAACCAAAACTCTGGCTCCTCAGCTGAAAGCTACACTAATAGCTACAAAACTTGGGAAATTAACTCTTGTCATTCATCAAGTTCATTTTCTCTGCACCAGCTGCTGCCATCTAGCCCAGTGGATTCCATTTGTTTCCTGCCCAGCCAAGGACACCTCATACCAATTTCATTCACTCCACACAAAACTAATTACTTTCATTTAAAATGGGGCTCACAAACAGAGGACCACAGAAGGAATGGTCTCACCTCAAGTCAACTCTTTCAACCCACCTCTGACTACAAACCACTGAAATCCTGGTTGTCTTTCATTTGCTAACTAGTCTGTTTAATAGTGTTGCATGTTGTTTACTTACAAGAAAGACCAGTACTAAAACTCCTTGTTTTGTATTTTGTGTAGATGCATTCTTTACGACTGCTAAGCCAGAATCAGCCATCACAGATATTTCTGAGCATGAGCGACAATTTCAGACCAGTCCAGCCTCTCAACAATCGATGTATCCGAACGAATATCAACTTTAGTTTACAGGGAAAAGATTGTCCAAACAATAGAGCACAGAAACTACAGTATAGAGGTAGGTTCTACCTCCAGAATGACTCTTTCTATGCTTCCACTGAGTTCTTTTCGTTGAGAAATCCAAGCACATAACAAGGAATACAAGTCAAAACACATAGAACTGCAGATCTGGGGGAATAATGGCAGGAGTCAAACGTTACATCTTTGAAATAGATGAGGAGACTTGCCAGAAACATGCAGGAAAAGCATGGCAAAGAAACAGCCTCAGACATCTGTTTTCAGAAGCAGCTAGGACAAGCCTTCCATTTTCTAGCCTCATTTTAAAGTCTTCCCACCTTACAAAGTGCATTGTACTCTGTTCTACCCACCCACAAAGGGGGATGAGCTAGTCTTGATGACAACTGATGTCAAACAAGAGAACAGGCTTCACTTTAGAGGTGCAGCACCACAACACATACCCAAATTGGAAAGTGCTGTTACACAATGGATATTAGACAATGACTCAACTCAGTCACCTGCTGGTAGAGTCTAACCCTGCCACACCTGAGGCTCACACTGAGCTCTGGTGTGTCTCATGCATCCCTTAGCCTATGCACACAGCTGTAGTAACTGCAATCATGGTGTAAAAGTGCCTTCTTGCCAGTAATATTCTGGCTATGGAGGACTAGTGCTGAAGGTTGGAGAAGAAAGCACATTTTCAGCAGCAAAGCAGATGACTGAGTTGGAATACCTCAAAGCAACAGTCATTCAGACTTGATTCCTTGCCAGAGAGAGGAGGAAGCTGAACCTCCTGGCATTGTTCAGACATTTTCTTTAAGTGCCTAACCCAATGTTAAATCCACCCAGTTGCGTCTTCAGAGTTGATTAAAGCATAATTGTTTTTGTTTGTTTCTCTTTCAGTAAATGAATGGCTCCTCAAGTAAGTAAGACAGAGCAGGCAGAACCCCTGTCCTCAGTGGAATGCTACTGCTGGGAATTGACATACTCTAGAATGCAGCCAACCTCACTCTCTGGGTTCACGGCAGCACGTGCACATGTGCTGTGGGAAAAGAGCTGCCATGCTGGGAACTCAACTCAAAATTCATTCATATGATCGGTGGCAATTAAAAAAAAAATAAAAATAAAAAGACATTATTACAGTAAATGTGATTCCAATTTTCCTGAACTAATTTAGCGTCACAAAGAAAGACTTTTCAGCCTTTGTACATATGAAATTCTTCCTCTTTTCCCCCTCCCTCAATTAAAAAATTTAAAAAAAAAAGAAAAAAAAAAAAGAAAGAAAAAAGGTGGCTCGGTACAGCATCAAAGTGGAGTTGTGTTCTGTGTGCCAAGTAATCCTTGGAAAGCTCTCATTATTTCACTGTCATTCATGGATACTGACAAGACAGAACAAGACGACTGTAAAGGAAACTTATTTCTAGGTTATGATCTTTCTGTTAATTTAATTACAAAAAGGACAGACTTTGAGAGATAAGTATTGTAAATATATCACTGCAGAATATAAAGGAAATGGAAATATTTCCCTCTGTCACATATCTGTAGTAGGATTTGCCAAAATCAGAACTGATCCATTTTCTGTTTCTTGTTTTACAACAGGTCATACGTTGTGTTGGTTACTATTAACGACTCAATAAATGTGTTTAACAAATTAATTTAGTAAACTTGCTTTGATTTATTTTTTCCTTTCTGAAATAATAAGCCTCCACGATTTGTGGCTGCATTATTTGTGTTTTTCTTTCTTTTTTTTCCACTTTCTTTTTTAACTTCATTTCTTTATTTGCAGCCAATTTAAGTGAGCTAATGACAATTGGGAATGCACTCAAAGCTGGTGTAACTTCAACTCCACTTTATGGTCCATCATTAACAGGAACTGGGCTCAGAAGCAGAAAACAGTTGAAACATATCTCAGTTGAAAATTGCCATTTTCCCTGCTGCAGCCATTATTGGGACTAACATTCAATCCTGTAAATTGGTGATGAAAAGGGATATTTTTCTTTACAGATAAAGCAGGAGCTGACCAAGTAAAAGCAAATGCCTTTTTTCTTGTTTATAATGGTCATTCACTGTGTTTGGTTACTGTCAAGAACTCAATAAATGTGTTTAACAAGTTCACATAGTGCATGTTTGACCTTCTTGCATATTGAGGGATTTTTTACTTCTTTTTTTAATCTGGAGAGGGGGCAGAACTCACAATATTCCATCCCTAATGCTCACTTTCAAATGGCTTCCATGTACCAGTGTAACACTGTGCAGGGATCTGAGAAATTCACAACACAACAGCAGAAATGTCACATAGCAAATATTACACTGGAAATGAATATTGTCACATTCTGCAGCTGAAATAAAGCAAACCCAGGAACAGGTTGCTCAGAGAGGTTGTGGATTCTCTCTCATTGGAGATATTCAAGATCTGCCTGGACACAATCCTGTGCCATGTGGGAGATTGGACCAGATGACCCACTGTGGTCCCTTCCAACCTGCTCCATTCTGTGTGATTCTGTGTGTGAAAATTATCACCTTAGGCTTACCCAGCTAATAAAATGAAAACCAATGCAAGTCACATGCATTCAGTATTTTTGAGGAGCCATAGTGAACTATAACTCTTAAACTTGTGGTGTTGGGGTTGTTTCCACTACTTGTTTAGGGCAAGTTGGGGTTTTTGAAGCTCCTCTTAGGTTGCAGAGTAAAGTTACTGAGAGCACAAAATCCACAATGCTTCAGTCTCTATTTCTGGACAAATATCTGGCAGTTGTTGATCCAAGTTTGTCAGTGACAGAAGGTAGGGAAGATAAGCCAGGCCTCCATTATAAAACTTTTAATAAGTAATAAAACCTGTTTTCTATTTTACTGAAAGTTGATTGAAGGGATTTAAAGGGAGGGAGAGATATGATAGAAGGGACTAGCCTAGGAAGGAGTCATGCTGTGCTTTGGATTAGGCTGTAATATAGAAGCCTTGCAAATAGACAAATAGAGTGATCATACTGGAACAGCACAAATACATTTGTCAACATTTCCAACTCCATTTTGCAAGCTAACAAACTCTATCTTGCCATGAATTGTTTCGGTTTTGGTTTTAATCATAGATTACAGTAGAAATAGGCCAAACTAAAGGTTAGAGTTAAGCACTTTTCACATTCTTCCTCATGTTTCAATAGTGCTCACATCTGGACATCTGGCTTCTGTTTTTCTGATCAAGCACATGTCTCTGTGTCGAGATACTGAGTGTCCCTAGAAAGCCACACCTTATCACAAAACCTTTAAGTAAAAAAGATAAAGTTTCAGCATGAAACAATTGGCACAGTCTCCATGTTCAGGGTCCACACAGCATGGCAACATGTGCCCACAGTAATCCCTCCAACCTGGGCACTCTGCTCATCACAGTGCTCCCCAGGGTCTGGCTGCACACAGCTCAGTGCTCTGTCCTAAGTGCTGAGTTTGTGGCCTCATTACCATCCCTGCCTGAGCCACCAGGATTAGGAGGGAGATTCTTTGCTGGTGATGAGGCTCAGCACAGACATGAGCTGCCTGGCAGGGAATGCACACCTGGTCCTTGATGAACAATCACCGCCACAGGCAGGACCAGGTTGTCATGCCATGATGATAACAGACATTAAGAGCCTAATACTGGGAAGAAATGCTCTGATTTGATCTTCTGCTATCATGTTCAAGAATATGATATCAAAACAGGTACCCAACTTTCAAGCTCATTAGATGATAAAAAACATGAGAAAATTCAAATATTCAATACTGCAAAACCCTCTGTTTCAAAGCACATTCAAAACATATAACAGACAAGTTTTACAAGCTCATTCTTTCTGTTCCTAAGCAGAAAATAAGAACTAAAAGAGATCTGTGGGATGAAGGCAGAAAGCAAAGACCTTCAGCAGAACTGTACCTGTAGATACCACTCATGTCTGTCCTTCCACCATTCTGTTCCAGCCTTGAAAGCTGAACCAGCAAGCAAATGCCTCAAGGATGTGCCTAGAAGCTTGGATATTTTATTATAAAACAAACTCCTATGAAACAAAAAAAACATCCTTTCTCAGTATTTAAAACCTCTCACTTTTCTATCAAGTATGTGCTCTGAAAGAGAGGGGGCAAGGGAAATGGTGCTGAAAAACAGAGACCCAAGATCAAGGCACTGGGAACAATTACACTTGAAGGTGTGCAAGACTGTACTCCCTGTACTGATCCAAACACTCAAACGCAGACAAGGAACTCAATCATAAAGGTAAGTTGGGCAGCAAAGATCAGAACAACTTCAAAATCAGCCAAATTCATGTTTTTTATGACTAGCACTGCTTGCTCTGAGCATCCATACACTGTTCCACATCTTGGCCTTAGGAAATGTCAGCACTAACTGCAGCTCACGTGACATTAGTTTGTCAGGCACCAGAGACATTGAGGGCCTGGTGGGAATGAGCTGCCAACTGCAACATGTTTAAGTGTTTTGCATCCAACAGCATGTCAAACTGTAGGACCTTTCAAAACAAAGAAAAAACATAGGATAATACTTCAGAATCCTTCCTGCTTCTGACAGAGCCTGTCTTTATTATCCCCATTTTGGATTTCTGGGGGGTTCACTCCATGCTGCTTCCAACACTAGGATTCTCTTAGAAAATTCTCAGCAGCTCTGAGCAATGCAGCAAAGACTTACCCCACAGAATCACAGTGCTGCCATAAATCTGTGAGAGGTGGCAAGTCTCTTGGTATTAACTGTTGCTGGAACCAACATATTTCAGCAGCCATTAAAGATGTTTAAATAATAATAGAAGAAGAATTGGTACATCCAATTAATTAGTGAAGACAAGCTGGAAAGTAGGATATGATTGTACTCAGAATGCCAAGGCCAGAAAGCAAATAAAGCCCCTCCAATATTTAAGGTATTCCTCATGATTTTTAATATTAAGGAAGATGGTGTTTCATTTTTTCATTTTACTTATTAAAGTGCTCAGAGTTAGCACCACCAAGATTCCATCACAGTCTGAAAATAAAGCTGAAGCTTCCCCTTGCTGCTTTCAGGAGCTGAACCTTCCCCAAAAATCAATAGCTGAAAGGAAAACTGTAACTGATCAATGCATTGTAGTGCAAATACCAGAAATGCAGCAAAAAGGCAGATGATTTGCACATTCTACTGTACATCTCAAAGCTTTAGCACTGGACACTGCGCCAAATAAATTCCAGATATTTGGTTCCTAAACTCAAAACAGTATAAATTTTTCAGGGAGATAAGCCATAACTGGCCCATGTTTGGATTTTTTCATTAGATTTTATTCCCTAGATATAGTGGCTGACAAAGGATGGAGAGTTTGCTGGAAGAGATGCTGATTTACTAGCAAATGGCTCAGCGCAGTTCTCACCAGCACACCATAAAATTATTCAAGGAGCCTGTTTGTATGGCAAAAACAAGAACCATTTATAATGGGAAACGTAATGCAGGCAAACATTTTCTGTTTCCTACAGTGTCAGGCTTCTATTCTAATAACTAAAGACGTGTCAAACACATAGAACAGAAAATGAAAAACAGGATAATAAATCTTCTAAGGATGGGAAAATAGCACTTAGTATTTAAATAGAGAAAAAAAATCCTTAGAAGAAGTATTAGAATAATAGAAAAATATATTGATGCAGCTTATGAATTTAGGCAGATGCTCCCACCCTGTAAGGGAAGAAAGAGCTGGAGTCAAAAGGAAATCCAAGTGGAGCAAAGTTACAGCTGGAAAATACTAGAGTTGTCCGAGAAGGAAGGTCAAGGCTATGAACTTCAGTCTTGGGTGGCTATTCCCAGCACAAGGAGACAGTCAACACCCAGCAAAGAAATCCCTTTTTCTGAGGCACTCAGGTATTTGCATCCACAGGACGTGCTCAAATGCACCAGGGTAATGTTTTGGCTTGGTCAAGGGAAAGCAATGCTGAGTCACAGTCAGAATGTCCTTCCTGATTCCTTAACTGCCATTCTGGATGTGCCTCCTCAAGGCTGTGCCAGGTGATTTTGTGAATCCATCTCAGGGTTCTGCAAAGAAATTGCAGCCTGCAGAAACACCCAATGCTTTGCTTCGCTTGCTGTCCCACTGCACACCTGAGCTTTAGCTGAGGCTGCTTGGAGCTTCCTCTCTGCAAA